TGGGGCCCCCAACGACAGCTCGAGGGTTTCTAGCCCCCTTGGGGGGCCCCCCACGTCTCCTGGGGGCCCCCCTCTCTCGATGAGGCCAGCTCCTTCTCTCCCCCTGCCGCAAACAAACCACCAGGGGCCCCCGGGGGGCCCCCCGGGGGCCCCCTGGGCTCGCTGGGGGGCCCCTCAGACAAACCCAAAGGCGGAGGCGGGGGGCCCCCATAAACTGCAGATCTACGAGGGGCACGTGAACGCTTGGGGATGTCGCTGAGCACAAACCCTAAACCCTAAACCCTAAACCCTTAACCCTAAACCCTAAACCCTAAACTCTAGCCGTGTGTTCTTACAGAAACCCTAAACCCTTGAGACAACCGACAGGCCCAGTTCTAATCCCGTGCAGAGCCAAACCCTAAACCCTCATAAACCCTAGTAAACCCTAAACCCTAACAAACCCTAAACCCTAATAAACCCTAAACCCTAATAAACCCTAGTACAGCACCGTACCCTTCTTGCGCAGCGAGAGTATCAAGCCTTCTTATGAGTGCATCTGTTCTGGCTGCAGCAATAGCATGGGGGCCCCCCCGGGGGCCCCCCTTGGGTCTTTTCGTACCCTCAACAAGCTTACGCATAGATCTCAGGAGGGGCCCCCTCAGAGCTACCGTCTCGGGCAGGGGCCCCGCAACCAGCCAGAGGCCCTTGCCCAGCGACCCGTCTTTATAAAGAGGTACTTTATAAGCACAAAGGCCCCCATCAGTACCAGGGGGGCCCCCCTTCAAGGTCTGGGGGCCCCCCAGGGGGCCCCCCAGGGGGGCCCCCAAGGGGGGCCCCGGGGGCCCCGCTGAAGAAAACCCGTCAGCGGGGCCCCCAGCCAGACCTGAAGCAGAAGAAAGGGTACCCGCAGGGCCTTCGTGGGGGGCCCCCTGGGGGCCCCCCCCACCCCGAGTAGACCGCGATGGACCCAGGGGGCTGCCCTGAGACCTCAGCACCAAACGCCCGCCACTTGGGGGCCCCTGAGGCCCTTCAGAATCCAGGGGGCCCCGGGGCCCCTGGGGCCCCGGGGGCCCCTGAACCACACGAGGCACTTGGGGCCCCGGGGGCCCCTGAGATTTCTGGGGGCCCTGGGGGCCCCGTGGCTCGAGGAGGCCCTGAGG